TACATACATGAATATTCAGCATGCAAGTATAATATAATATGCTGTTTTGGCTGGCTAGTGACAGCATACACTGGCTGCTGAATGACAACAGGAACTATTTTTATGGCTAGTGCAGGCCCTGACATTTGTTTGTTTTTATTATATTTGGTGTCTGAGGAGTGTGAGAAAACTGTTGCTGTTTTCCTACACTTCTTTCTTTCCACAGATACTGACAGCCTTCTCCAGAGTCACTGTAAAGCATGCAAATCCTGCCGTGCTTGGGAAGATCTGGAATTGGGGTTTCACTGACATCCCAGCAGAACACCAGCAAAGTAAAGAACACATCTCCTATCGACAAAGCCCCCCATAGACAGACCTGGCACCCTCAGTTCTCAGTGCTGGACTGGGTGCATTGTGATCTGGGCAGTGAAAAAGAAACTTGTGGCAGACATTTTGTGAAGAAGTGTTGTTGTGTAATTCTGTTAATTCAGAGGTGTCTGGGTGACAAGTAGTTTTGCACCTGAAATCAAGCTGAGCACAAAACTGGTATTGATCTCATCCTGCTTTTGGGGTTCTCTACAGGGTCTACCCCCACCTTCCTGGCCATGGATAACATCTGCACAACTCAGCTTCTTCCTTCTGAGAGCCTGGAAAATTAATCTTGGATTGTATGCATCTATTTTTCTCCATTTGTTCAGGGTGGGATACCACAGACTTCTTTTTTTTTTTCCCAGTCTTTATTCATCTCAGGTTGCACGCAACCTCAGAAGATGTGTGAAAACAGCGTATACATATTTTACACATTTTTCTGTAATCTACCATCATTTTAGCATTTATCGAAACTCAACTCCAATTTTCCCAAACCAACACAAAAGATTTGTGTCAGTATTGTAGCAGTCTTTACATAAAAATCTAGCTCCAATGTTTTTCAGATGCGAACATCCAAGAGAGATCTTTTTACTGCTTTTCAGAGACAAACTGAGGCCATGCAGAATAAACTCATACTCATGCACAACAATTACAGCAAAAAAAAACAGAGAGATACATAAAAGCACAGAAGTAACAGAACCCACTAACAGAACAAAATGGTACAGGAATTAAAGCACAGACATTACCTGCTTATATGAGCAGATCACCCAACTTTACAGTGACCGATGCCAATTGAAAATTCTGTAACCATATGGTAGAAAAGTGACTGTCAGTAGTAATTGATTTATTACTACAATAAAATCACTCTGTTGAGCAATTCTACTTCAACAAAGTTTTCACCAGGCTACTGAGTCTGTGCTCTCAATATTCCTCTGCTGTTATTTTCTTTCTTCATTTTCTACTTCCAGCACTTGAACATCACAGACTTTTGATAGGAAGTAAATATTTGAAATAAAAAGTTGACCCCATGGAAAAGACAATAAATGAAAGCAGATCTTCATTTTGAACCCATTTTTGATCTTCTTCCTAACTTTTGAGCAGTATTTAAGTATTTAGTATTTAAAACCAGAAGGGGGATACCCATGTTTTCAGTCTCAGCCTAGCTACTCACTAAGCAGGGGCCTTTGTTTGCTGACTGATAAACCAGCTCCTCTTCAGCTACCAGCGACTCAGCTCACAGTATGAAATAATTGTACAGAATCAACCTGATTCCAATCCAGCTCCAGGTCAGAATTATTCACAAAAGGCAAAATGTGCTTTTTGCTTTTGATCCTAAAACTCTGTGTGACATCGTACTTGAATATCTCAGGCAGAGATATTCATGTTGCTTGGAGTCTGTAGTACAAGGAAGTGTCCATGCTGTGAGGGCATTGTAGAAATCTAAGAAACTGTGCTATCTTCCATTCATCCCAGAACAGACATTGTTAATCTGAGTACTTTACAAATATGGAAAAGGCTGTGGCTCAAAATACAGTCCATATAAAATCCACAAAAAACATAATAGACATTCCATGGCAACAGAGATGTCCTGACCTAGAATCAAGTCTTGTTGGAATCCTATTCCAGCAATCCTATTCCAGCAATCCTATTCCAGCATCCAGGGGTGTTGCAATCTTATTCCAGCACCGTTGTATGTAATAGTAATCATCTGGGGAACTTTCTGCTCATTGGTTCTCAGAAAAGGACGCAACTAAAAGACATAGACAAGGACATCATGGGCAAGGAAACATTCTGTGAAGCTAAGTTTCCCAAGGACTAGAAACTAAGCAGGTCATCAGCATTCTAAGAAAAGAAAACAGCAAAAAACAGTAATTCCCTCTGTTGTTTTGACTTTTTATTATTTATTTAGCCAGTGGGTAAACCCTTTTCAGTCTGCCCTGAACAGCTTGCTCCTCAAGGCCAGGCTGGACCAGGATCTGAGCACCCTGATCAAGCTGTGGGTGTCCCTGTTCATCACAGGGGATTTGAACAAGATGGCCTTAAGAAATCCTTTCCAACTTTAAGAATTCTATGATCCTAGCACATGGCTCATCTTGTCACATACAGAGCTGAACTCGTCTCTTCCTGATTTCCCCAGCGTCACAAAGCAACTTAACAGGATAAAGAAAAGAAATGAATACCCAGATGTCCAATAAAGATGTCATACAACACAGTGAGATATGTCCCATCTCCACTGTAACCATAAACAAGAGAATCAAACCTTTGCTTGACAATTTACAGTTGGATAGTTGAAATGACAGGACTATCCCCTAATTTATTTATTAGGATATTTGCTTGCTTTGTGTCCAGAATAAGAAACTGCTAGGTAGCCAGTGTGGACTGCTGAAATTGACACGGGGCCCTGAGATTCACATGGCAATCCAGTCCTATGGCAGTGACTTAATGGTTTAAGACGATCTATTTTTGAGGAAGAGGGAGTTGTGCAACACCTGTTCCCATAGGTAAGGTAGGCTGACAGCCCCACAGCAGCAGTGCACAGGCTAAGGGAAGAAGAGTGAAAAAAAATTGTTTCACGATACTGGCTGAAACTGCAGTGCTGTGATTGCCACAAATGCATTACACAGGTGCATGCATGCTCATTTTTCTCAGGTAGCTCTTGCTCTTTGCTACCATACTCCATTCCCCATTGGGTAAGAAACAAACAAACAAGTAAACAAAAAAAACCAACCCCCCAGAACAATTTTCAGGCAGTACTTACACTGTTCTGTCCAGCTCAGCTTTACACAACATAACAAAATAAGTATTTTCTTCTTTGAATTAAATAATATGATTTTGCAATTTATATTGCCACAAAATATAGTAAAATAAAGAATATACTGATGCAGAATAAGAAGCAAAAGTTCTCAGCTCCATCCCCTGCATAACCCCTTCCACAGCTGGTTTAAAACCCACTCAAGCTACTCAGTAGAAAGACAGCTAGAAAAAAGGATGAAGAACAGCTAGACAAAGGGTGAAGAGTTAACTTTCTCAGGTGTGCTTGCATGAATAGACAGAGACAGCTGATCTTTAGTTAAGAAATTACTAGTTGTAAAGTCTTTAAATGGAACATTCTGTGTTTTCTAGAGAAGAGAACCATCAAGAAGCAGAGTGCAGGGCACGACCACCTGAAGACAAGCTTCTGAAACCAAACTGAGAAATGGAGATTAAGAAAGAAGAATGTGTTGATGAAATAATTTGTTTGGGACTTTATGAATGATGGATTCTAAGAACTAGAAGAAACCCATGGAAACTTTTGTAGACATTAAGTCCTTTGTATCACTATGTAAGTGATCATGATGCATGAGTTGGTTGCCATCCACTGTGGTGCTGACCCAACTCTGAGTTGTCTTGAATAAATCAGCAAAGCAAATGCAACCTATTCTGCTGTAATTTCTCCCTTTTCTACACAATTTAACAGCTTCCTGTAGATTTATCCAACGTTATTGCCCTCGTACTCCATCCTCTGGTTCCTATATAGCTGATCCACTCAGTATTCCTGCATAGCCACACAATTGCTTTATTGTGGTGTGGAACTCTTAGATTCATTTGGCAGCTACTTCCATCCAAGAACTGTAAAGTCCATTTAGCTGAATCCACAGCTGCAGACTTTTTCCTCTAAAGGTATCTTAGACTGGTACTACTGAACTCAGGCCAGTGCTCCATCACCAGTGGTGTTCAGTCACTCCCTAATCTAAAACTTATCTAATGCAAAGATATCTGAATTAGATAAATGTTTGAACTGGATTTTCTTAAAAAATCAGTAACTGTCTTTTGACACTTTCCCTCTTGCTTCTCTCTTTTTTTTTTTTTTTCCTCTCTGAGGGAACTCCCTAATCCCTCCTCTAGACAAATAGAGATAAGTGACATCACACCAACACAGAACCACTGCCATTTATCCCAACTCATCACCCAAGCCAAAATATTTATTCCAATTCAATTAGCAGGGTGTGTAACGCTGTTTTGTCCATCCTGCTGTAACTGCTTGTTTTGTTTGCTTTTCCAGGCTCTGATCAAAAGTAATAAACTGACCATTAACGTTCCATTTGCCGCAGCATTGTACCTGTTGTTTGAATGTACTCAGCCAAAATCCACTTCTTTTTGACCACGTGTAGAGGGATGGAAATCCACAGCTGACCAGTCTCACTGGGTCAGTGCAAATTGTTGGGGCAAAACCCTTTAAAAATTAATGGGTGTGACAGCGAGCAACTTAAAGTTATGGTAGGTGTGAGTCTGTCAGGTGCAGCTCCACCCCAACCTCTGGATCTCAGCTCAGAACTTGGAGCTGTCAGTGAACGGTGAACCAGCCCAAGAAGTTCCGGGGAAAAATAAAATAAAACAAGGAGAGATGCACACTTGGGTTTGTACGTTACGTAGAGGAAGAGGTCATAGTTTCCAACAGGAGCCAAAACTGCGTGCTAGGAGGACATGCTGAAGAAGCATAACAGAAACGATTGAGGAAGATACCTCAGAAGCACAGGTTCTGTTTCGAATTCATTCCCTTTTAGTACAGGGATTTCAGACATTTAGACTGTACAAAAAACCCCACGAATATCTGCAAAATGCATTCTAACGATTTTAACGATTTCTCCTCCAAACTGCAGGCCCCCCACTGTTGGTCAGTCACTTCAGATATGCGGGCTAACGAGCTAAAATCAACCCTTTTTATTGAGAGCTGAGCAGATCTGCGAAACTGCTTCCTTGCCGCTGTGGAAACAGCGGTTCCGGCACTACGTATAGAAACAAAGCAGCCGTTCCGTTCCTTTCCTTCTCCCCGCTCAAGCCCCCAGGCACAGCTGAGAGCAGGGAACACTCTAAAGGCGGAGGACGCGGTCGAGTCGCCCGCATAGGAGTGAAGCTGGGTGCAGGCAGGGATGCTCCGAGCCCCACGAGCTCCTCGTGAGCCCGGAGCCGCTGCCGGCGGCCGTACAAGAATCGAGCCCTGCGGCTCTGAGGGCAAAAGCTTAGGTACCGAAGCGATGCGGAGAGCTCCAGGAGCAAGTCCTGCGCTCGGAGCCTCGCCCTACGATTTCCAGGGGAGAGACGAGACTCTTGGGGTCATAATTGCACAGGGAGTAAAATAAGCCCACACAGAGGAGGCAAGCACGTACCCGTTGAGTTCATACAACTCTTCCACCGAGCGAAAAACTTGAATTCCCGCCCGACAGAGTAGAGACGGAGCGCCTGTGCAACTCGGAAACCCCGCGCACCCCAGAAGCTCGCCAGCCGCAGCCAATGTTCACGCAGCGCGGGCTTTTCGAAATCCGCCGCGATGGGGAGAGCAAAGAGCAGAGAGCGCGCCAACCGCGGCGCAGCGCCGGACCGGCGAGCGCTGCTCGGACTCTCACAAACCCTCCGGATTCGCTCCGGTTCCGTACGGCCGTCGTGAGGCTCCTCAGCTCACCGGCTCGGACGTGGTGCATTGTGCTGCCGCGGGGACAGCTGCCTGGGAGATGGGGAAAACGGAGGGAGGGAGATCTGTACCGCGGTCTGAAAAAGCGAACCTCCATCCCACACACAGAGAACTGTAAGAAACAGCATTTCAGCTCTTTCTGAGAAAATTTGGGTGGCTCTTAAAAGAGCCGTTGGGTTTTATCTGCCAAGCAGAGGGGAGGGACTTGTTTTAGGATATTTACTTCTTCTTGGGGGCCGCCTTCTTTGCCTTGGTTGCTTTGGGTTTGGCCGTTTTGGGCTTGGCAGCTTTGGGCTTCACTGCCTTTGCCTTGGCCGGGCTCTTGACAGCCACAGCCTTTTTGGGCTTGGCAGCCTTGGTCGCTTTCTTGGGGCTCTTGGCCGCCTTCTTGGTGGCTGCGGCCACTGGTTTCTTGGCTTTCTTGGGGCTCTTTTTCACCGCCACCGCCTTCTTGGGCTTTTTGGCGGCGCTGGCAGGTTTCTTGGCTGCCGGTTTCTTGGGCTTGGCTGCGGGCGTTCTCTTCCTAGGAGCCTTCTCCTTCGCTTCTCCTGGCTTCTTGCTGAGGCGGAACGAGCCGGAGGCGCCAGTGCCTTTGGTCTGCACCAGGGTGCCCTTGCTGACGAGGCTCTTGAGCCCCAGCTTGATGCGGCTGTTACTTTTTTCCACGTCGTAGCCGCCGGCGGCCAGCGCCTTCTTGAGCGCGGCGAGGGAGAGCCCCTTGCGCTCCTTGGAGGCGGACACGGCCTTGGTGATCAGCTCGGTGACGCTGGGGCCCGCGGGCTTGCGGGCTTTGGCGCCGCCCGCCGCCTTCTTCGGCTTCTTGGCGGGGGCCGCCTTGGTCGGGGTCGGGGCGGCGGCGACATCGGGCGCAGCAACAGGAGCGGTCTCGGCCATGGCGCCTCCTGCGGAGCTCCACGAACAATGGCGCGGTCGCCGCCGCCGCCCCCTTTATAGCAGCGCCGCGCGCGCTGATTGGTTGGTCCCGCCGACCGCCGCCGCTCCGGTTGTGTTTCTTGTCAGTCCAAAAAGCTCTTTTTCCTTCAGAAATTGACCGTCCGCGCACCCAGTTCCTTACTGGGAGGTGAGGGGACTTGGGTGCCGCAAGCTGGAAGAGTTACCCGTTTGAATGAGGAGAAATAAGGGAAAAGAGATACGAGAAACTCCGCTGAGTGGAGCCGTGGTGACCCCGGCAGAGGGAAACATTCTATTTATCTTCTAAATTAAAAGTATCCCTTTGGCTAAATCCACACAGCCGGCACGAAACCGTGTACTTCAGAAGCTCCTCTCCAGATTAGGGCAAATACCGCAGTGGCTTCAGTGTCTGATCTCAGCTTAAACGAGTTTGAAAGCCGAGCAAGTAACACAACCCAGCCCCGCAGCACGGGCTCGGCTCCCGTTCCCCTCTGCGAACACAGCGTCCCACTCAGCGCCCGCTCGGCTCGCCGCTCCTCTCCCGGAGACGGCAAGCAGAGGTGGGCACCCCGGCAGAGGGGTGAAGGCCGACGTCTCTTTACATCTGTTTTAGTGTTGTATGGGAGCAAAGCACCAACCAGCCTCTCCCTGAGGGCTGATGAGCCTGTTAGTGCACTGCCAATGCATCCTGAAAGGGTTGCTTTGTCAGGAGACAGGTCAGCTACCATTGTAGTGCATCGTCTTTTGATCTTAAGACCTAGACAGTTTTTGTATCGCGATTTATTAAAATTCGTTGTGAAACAGAATCTGAGGCGTAATGAAAATTTGAACTGAGTGGAGACTCACAGCCCTAAGTCCTGCCCTTGTTCCCTGGTCAGAATAATTTATTATCCAAACAGATTACTCTGTCCTAATGTACAAATGTTGACATTTAAGTGTAGTGCTTTGATAACAGCATCCAATGCTTTGCTATGTCAATCTTTTTAGAATAAAGGGCAGAACTCACACCATTTCAAGAGGTTTCCTTCCCCAGGTAGATCCATATTAAGTAAAAACTGACTAATTCTCAGTTTCCACCTTCAAATTCTCCCCTCCCTTTTCAATAGCATGCTGCTTTCTTTTTCAGTGTGAACTATTGACCGGCCTGTCTGTGATAACATTGTTGCACACACTGGATACTAGGTCATCACTAGCTGCTCATACTGGTGGAACAGATACATTCTGGGCTTGAAGAAACTGAAGCGGAGTAAAACGAATGAGGTCACAGCTCAGTGTCACAGCAGCCTGGGTAAACAGATGCAAGGCTGTCTTCAAGAAATTTCATGTCCTTTTAGTTGAAAATGTACATCTCTGAGAAATAACAGGAACTACAGAGATGGGAATATCAAATGACCTCTGTGAATAATTTTATATGAGTTTTTCTTACGGTCACTCACAAGACAAGAAGCAAAAGCTCAACATCAAACAGTGGATCTGAACTATTCCAGTGATTTTGCGTTCTTAATTTTTATTCTCTGGAGGTTAAATGAGGAAAGAAATGCAGGGCTGTGTGAGGTATCCCAGAGAGTGCACTTTGGCCTTCAAGATGAAGGTAACTGTGTGTTTTGGCTGTGATAACAAGAATGACAGAAATGTTAATGTAAGGTTGCAGGATTGCCTATTTTATAAAAACAAAAATAGGAAAGCAATTTTTATTCTGATTTTATCTGATGCTTATTTCTTAAAATGCAAAGAGTTGATGCCTTTAGTGATGAGACTGAAGGCTGACTCAGAAGTGCTGACAGTGAGGAGAAGGTTAGATGTAAACTAATATTGGAGACCCTGTTGTAGTAATAGATGTATGTAGGTTGCTCAGAAAGTACTGCCTTCTATTTATTTCCATAGAAACTACAACAGACACAAAGAGCACAATAACACTATTTTGTACTGCTGTGGTTTCAACTGAAAAAGTGCTAATAGCACACCAGTGTTTTAGACATTGCTGAGTGATGGAACACCATGACGAGGCCACATGCTTGAGAAGAGCTGCTGCCTTTATTATGGGGCAGCAGGGAGTGAGGTGGCACCAGGACAGCTGGCCTGAATTAGGGACACCATGCAGAACAGTGTAAAGCAGTGAGGAGTTGGAGGGGGGAGCAGCAGCCTGGGTGTCCAATCCTGTGTAGTCTGTCTATCCATCAGGAGTTGAGAGGTTGTATTGCTGGTGGGGGACTGGTCAGCAGGCAGTACTGCTGTTGTTGTGCATCAGGCAGCAGGTGGTGAGTGACTGCACTTATAAATCCATTTTTGTTTCCAGATTTTTCTTCTTTGTAAATAACTTTGACCTCAGCCTTTGAGTCCTATTTTACTTTGTCACTAATTCTCTCTCTCATCCCACTTGAGGGGGAGTGAGGGGAGTGAATGAAAGGCTATGAGGTTTTGAGCTGTCTTCCAGGTTAAACCACAGCAGCTAGCATATTGTATGTAATAATTTCCCCTATTTTTCAACATAATCACCACCATCAGCCACCATCACCATACATTTCCACCAGTGTTAAACAAGAGCCTGTATGCCATGCCCACAAAAATCTGTAACAGTGGAGGTGACCCACCGTTGCTGCCATCTTGTCAGACTGCCCTTCTGCTGTCATCTGTCACATGGCAACCAAATGTAATGCAATAATGGTGGGGAGGTTCATCCTCTACTGCCATATCACCATCTCTGCCTCTGACATCATGGGCCAGCATCATGAAACAGGAGGCATTATTTTGAAAGCAGCCCTCACAGACCTCCTGTCCTCCCAGGGACAATGGAACCAAGGTTTTGTAGCTTCACAGTGCATTAGCATTTTTATATATCTGTTTCTTCCCTCTTTCTTTCTCTATTTCTTTCAAACTTCTTAAACTAAATGGCATTTTTCTGTCAATTCTCTGGACTTGTACAGCAAGGAAAATTAGATTCATATTCTGCCTTTTACATGACACAAGCAGAGGAAAGGTATAGTTGGGCACAGATTCCTAGGATTGGAAATGGGAAATTCATTTTTTACTGTTATTATCACAACATTTTCTGCACTTACTTAGAAACTGGAACATATTTACAGTTTTGAGTAGGAGCTCTCAAAACCATCAGTGCTTCATAATGTTTTTTGTTACATACAAAATTACCCCCATCCACTGCGTTAGGAGCTTATGATAAGAAAAGATGGCTGGGTATATAAGGCTCCAGTTCTCACTGGAGAAAACATTATGAGCTCTTCTACAAATTAGGTTAAATCAAAGGGGGGGAGGGGGGGGGAGAGATGAAGAAAAAAAGGTAGGTGCTGAGTGTTATAGAAACTCTTGGATTATTTTTTTTCCTTTGCCTCTTTTCCCAATTAGATTTTGCACTGGAACATTCAGGTATAGTATGCTACACCTATCCAAGTATTCCAAGTGTATTTTAATTTCTCAGCCACTGTAGGTTGCAATTTAAAATTTCAGGCATTGCAGAATATATTACAAAGCAAAGAACTGGTGTGTTAACATAAGAACTTAGGATAGCTACAATAGAAAGGTTTCCCCAGGCTTTGATCTTCCACTATTTCAACTGGCAAATGCTGTATTTGACTATGATCCTTCCATTTTTCCTTCCCTTTCCGTGTAGAATAAAGTGTCAACAGAAATTCTGAAATAATTCATGAAGATATTGTTACTTTCCTTCCAGGAGCAAGAGCAGTTTTTGATAAAGGTCTAATGGCTGCAGCTGAAGCTTGCTCTGTCACACAAGAGTGGAAATGAAAAGAAGGAACAATATATGCTTAACCCACAGTATATATTTAAGAATAGGTGTAAGCTAGAAATAATTGTTTTCCAGTTCTCAGTTTTGGAGTGAGAAAGAGCACTTTTCTAAATGTCAGATTAGAACTCTATCCAGAAGTGTAAGGTTAGGGCATTTCCCTTTGGAAACACTAGTTATGATGCAAGCAGACAAGTTATAATATTGAAGGAAGCCAAGGACACTTAGGAAACTCCTAATGTGCTTTGAAATGCCTCTTCTTTTCCTAGAAATGGCAAAAATAGTATATGGAGTTCCCCAGCACAGCTGATACCAGTAAACCCAATACCTATTACGGTATAATTGGCCAAACTGCCTACTTCAGCCCACACTGTTAATACGCTTATGTACTATGCACTAAAAGCATGTCCTTCTGGCTCAAACATCATTGCTTTTGTTTTAACATTTAATAAATTAACTCAATAATTAACTGTAATATATAAAGTGATGACTTCTCTATTACATTAACATAAAATGTCAATTAGTTCTTTTTCTAAAATGTAAAGGCATGAATTCCTCCTTCAGTTCTTGAAGCTTCTCATGAAAATCAAATAAGCAAAAACCAAAACCATGACAACACTATAATTGATGACCATTAAATGATCATTTATATAAAAGAAAACTGTTTACTTAAAACCTAGTGTTGACAACTATGGTACCTGAATAAGACATAGCAATCAGGAGAACTTCCATCCTGACTTTAGAGCTTGGAAAACATGAGTTAACTCCCAAGGTTTAAGGGAGAGTGTATACCAGCAATTTCAAGTATGTACCTTGTTTTCTAAAGCTCCATTTATTTGAAAGAGTTCTGGGCCATAGAAAGGTGTGAAGGAAAAGCAAGTCTTTTTGACATCTTTTCTGCCTTTGTTGACACTGAGGGATACATTCTGACATTCAGTTTACAGCTGACAACCACATTTCACATCTTGGACACCAGACCACGCTGCAGAAGTGCACAGAGATCAAATTTGTGTATGCAAGCCATAAATCATAACTTCACCTCCATCTAAAACTATTTGTGCACAAATTTACTGCAGAGAAAAATAAACCACAAGTCTATACAGTAAATACTGTTCTATGTTTATTATTTAAAAAAGAAAGAAGCTAAGAAAAATACTGTATATACAAGTGAATTGGAGATAGCCTAAGAAACAGAGAAGAGAGTAAATACTAAGAAAATCTACAAGAAGTGCATCCAGAATTCATGGACGTTTAAAATCATGCTTAC